CGAATTATCGCCCAGCTCTAGGTTCTGGGTTCAGTTCCTGGGTGCTATCTGTGAGGAGTTTATATGTTCTATCTATGTTCCCATGGGTTTTTCTCCACAGTACAAAGACATACTGGTAGGTTATTTGGCTTCTGGGAAAACTGGTCCAGTGTCTGTGTGTGCCCTGTGATGGACTGTCATCTCCATCCAGTGTTAATATGCCTTGTGCCTATTGCTTGCTGGGATAGGCTCTGGCTCTTTCACAATCCTGTAAAGTGGCTAGAAAATGGGTGGATGGGATAATCTTTATTGACTTTATTTACTTCTGTGGGTATATTTGTATTCATTTTTCTTTAAAGTCAATTGTTACATTGTTGCAGTGTAAACCCCAAGGTTTATCTTTCAGTGGTCTCTAAAGATAAAAAGAAATAAAACCCATTGGGTGGAACGTTCTTAATGTAGTACCTGTACATACAGGGGATAGGCAACATGGAATTATAAAAGGTAGGTCTTGCTTAACTCAAGAATTCTTTGAAGAAGCAACAACAGTAATCTATCCAAACATGATATGCTATATTTAGATTTTCATAAGGCTTTTAATAAAATTCCACAAAAAAATAAATAATTGAAAGCTGTATACATCCAGGGTAATGCAGATATTTGTATCGTTATATTTGGGTTCACTGCTCTTATTAACATACAATCTAGATTCTAGTATAGTTTTTAAACTATAAAGGTTCGCAAATGCTGTAGCTGCAAACCTGCAAGGGAAACTCAAAAAGAATGGAAATTCAAATATTCGAGACTGGGCAAACACTTTTTAGATGAAATGTAAAAAAAAAAACTATGTGAATGACCGTGGGTTACAATCCCATTCAGCCTGTTTGGACGTAAGTGGATAATTGTCATCCAGTCCTCCCTAAAAATAAGCCAGGATGTCAGCTTTTACAACATGGCTGTTTAGCTTGTTCTATGCTCCTGCATCCCTTTGGGTAAAGAAGTGACTTCTTATAGCCTTATAAAGACAGGTCTTTAGGTCTGCATTTATATGGCTCAAACTACACTCCCGAGAAGTATTTTTACTGGTTTGAACCATCTGGGAGCCCAAGGAAGACAGAAAATAAAATCTAAAGATTTTAAGAAGTACTGTATTTTAAGTCCTACTTTTTCCCTTGTGCATGATATAATCCATTGTTCCTGCTGTTACCAGTTGGATGACATGGTTATTTAGAATGCTCAGTGCCAACAATCATTCCTGAATAACAGGAATCAAAGGTCCCGTGAAGACCCCATCACCCTCTGTACTGAATTAGTGTTTGAGAGAAGACATCCTGAAATAGAATCAGATGCACTTGTGTTTTAAGAGTGTTAATATGTGTATTAAAGAGTGGTAATTACGGGTGAGTTACATCAGCAACAAGTAGAGAATAATAATGCTGCATTTCCAGAAGACCATTTTCCATTTTTCCATTTTCCCTCACTTTGTCCTAAGGGTCTGGGGTGCTAATGTTTCCAGTATCCATCCAACTGGAGTTGTGTGCCCGTTTTTGTTAGCTGTGACTTTCTAGAGCTTGCAAGTGAGATTACTGAAAGAAGCTTAGTGCCACTAAACCCCTTACAGTTTAATTATTCCTGTATGTATTTATGTGCATAAAAACCTGCCTTCTGCCATTTTTAGAAAACAACTGTCAACCTTATTTAAGAACAAAAAATGTATTTATGCTGTAACATCTCTGTCTTTCTCTGTTTTTTTCCCTGATCTAAACGTTAAAATGTACACAGTGCCATTAAAACGTGATTAATAGAAACTCTAATTTGGTCACATTTATTTTGTCTGCATTTATACTGCCCAGAGAAGGAATCGTTGTAGATAGTCTTGTAATGTAATTTATTTGGTTTTCTTATCAGATCAATGAGACAGCTTGTGCCTGATTGACAGCATATATTAAAACACGGACTTGATTGTGAGGTCTGGACGCCCTGCGCACGGGCAGGACGAGGGGTTAAATGTGACAACTGTGGCTGAGACATGCAAGCTACAGTCATGCTCACACGGAGGGGCATCAGTATTCCACTCATCTTCTGGGAATTAAGCTGTTAATCCAATCAGTGACTCTAGAGTGAGCCCCTGGGCTGGCTGTCCACAGGGGAACAATCGGATCAGTCTCGGGATTGTTTAAGAGCTCCTGCCTAAAAGCGCATTGTGGGGAAGCCACTCGCTGCCCGCCTGACCACAGGAGGGGTTGGAGATTATGGAATTTGTGCTTATTCTGAAACACTGGGCAATGCACACAGAACATCAACAAGCAGAGACTTACGAACCTTGTAAATTATTGACTGTAGAATCTGCTTTTCTATACTGTAAAGAAGATCAAAGTTTTCACATTCTGTGTGCTCTGTTTTTCCCCTTTTACCAAAAGGACAGACTGAGATCAGAAATAGTAGTTAACATTCTTTCTGTTCCTTTTACAAGACTCCTCATTTTTTACATTTGTCAGCAAGCAGGTCAGTTTAAAAGACGTGTTTACAAGTGTTTGGAACTGCTCTAACTGACATATTAAGAGCCTTCAGTCAGATGGATCTCAGTTTCAGACAGTACCTGGGACGTATGTGGACTATGAGCTGTGGATCACAGTTTCCTGTATCACATTGTCATCTGAAGGCGGTTCTGCTGGAAGAATAGGTTTGCACCTGGCTGCAAAAATTTCAGAACCTTGCTCAATACATCGCATTACTTGTTTAGGCTATCCTTATTGTTGGATTAGTTTTATAAACAGTTATGTATCCTTTTCCTCTTGCACCTCCTCTTAGATATGCTTTAGTTTGGCAGTACTTGTAATTGCAAGTTTGCCAGTGCAGATCACTGTCAGTAGAATATTTGATTTTAATGCACATTGAGAAGGTTTCTGCAGGCAAAAAATGGTAGTGATAATAATCCAGAACAAGGAAGTCTGTTTTGCTAGCTGTCCAAAAAATGGAGTGTATGTGTTCTGACTTTTGACCTTGAAATCTACAGTACTAATAAAACGTCTAGCAGAACTTTTAGGGTTTTGCAAATCATACTTAATAAATGTATAATAATGTGAGTGTGAGTTATTTAGAAAATAAATAATTTTGTTACATGACTATGACTCAGCTAATGACTAACATGCAGTTATTAATATACCAACTATTAATATACAGTATATATATTCTAATAAGTTAGAAAGCATTATAGAAAGTAATTTGCACTCCCATAAGGTTTAACTGAATTTAAACATATCAGGCATGCATTGTTTTAAAAGATGACTTTGCCTCCAACAGTGCAAAAAATCTCAGTTTCCCACCTGAAGGATTTGAACTGTTAGACATTCTTGGCATAAGTATAGTCACCTGCACTGTTAAGTCAAATGGGAAACGTTAGTTTTTCCAAAACTTTACCTTTTTATATCTACACTACTTATATCTTTCTGCTCATTATTTACTCTTGGAAGAGTTCCGATGTTGTGAACAGAGAGGGGTGGTAATATTGCAATGTATCTTTCTTTATTAGAGTGATCTTGAATTAGTATAAGTATAATGTTCGAATTGCTGTCTTTTCCAGAAATGTATTCTCCCTTTCGTCTTTTGAGTATCCAGCAACTTAAAGTGTTAAAAAATGTAACTGGTAACCATGAAGATAGGTTATATATAGGACACGGTACCACTGTAGTGTTATGTAATCACAGTTTTCCCGTTTGTCATCATTATCTGGGTGAAATGTCTAAAGTTAACTGGACATTAACAGTTAATTTCCTGGTACTGTTGCATGTCACATAGAAAGGGCTGAGGTCTTTAATTGTCTTTAATTGTAGGATTTACACCTACACTGACCCACAACTTGAACAGTGCTTTTATTTATCCGCGGTCAGAGTCTCCTCTGGTCTTCTTCACCATATAATGTGTGTGTGGGCTGAGCCGGCTGGATGGCTTCTTCACACAGATTGACTTGCTGAGTTGCGTGAAAGAGCAGCTCTGCTGGTAATTCATTTTATATGGTGAAACCTTTAACGACGACCCCAGTCTCTCAGTGCCCTACCTATTCACCCTTTTAGCTCTTCTCAACAGAGCTCTAATTCCCCGATTAGTCATGCTATCTTAACCCTTGTGCATCAAATGCATTGGTGTTGTCTGGATAACATGATGTGGATACAGCTCTGAGTGTCCAGGCTGTTTGAGGCCCTTTTTTCAATTAAAGTGCCTTAATTGTTCAGAAAAAGAATCAATATTTAATCGTCTCATATAATCCCCAAGTCTAAACTCTTCTGGTGTTTTCCAGACCTTTTGGATATAAAGTTTTTACCTTTTCTTTCCATGGTTAAAAAAGGAGGCTCCAGGGCCTGAAACAAGAACAAAGCCAGTTAGTCTTTGCAACAATATTTAAAGATTTTCAAAAAGTTTAAAATTTCTTGGAAGTGTGTTTGAGGTCATTCTTTTCTTAATAGAATAGGATTTTGTCTTTCCAGCTTCGTTTAACATGGCAAAACAGTCTGGCCTAAAAATACTTGATTACAGTTCCATTGTTCCTTGTTTTGTGACAAACATTCTCACCAAATGCCTAGAAATGCTTTCTATCATTCTTAGCCATCCGTTACTTCTATTTTTATATTTAGCTTAAAATGTGTGCGTAGCTTGATATTATATACAATATATTTAAGTGGATAACATAATCTTCTAGGATTTGTTCAATTCATTTCTTCAGTTTATGTACAATGATTGTTTCTAAAAATGTCAAATTTATGTACAAAAAGAACTACAAAAAGAATACAGATTAACCAAATACAAAGTCATGCACTCAACAGTTTAAAGTTGATTATTCTATTTGGTAGCTGCAATTGGTGCCTTTTTGCCTCTTGCATTCTGTAACTGCAATATTGTGAAACAGTTTGTGCTTGAAAATAAAATGAAATTAAATGGATGTATTCTATGTATTTTCCTTTTCTTCACCAATGGGCTTCAGGTGCTCAGTTTTGATGATCTTTGTTCTTTTTTTATTTTCACAGGATGATGAAGGCCAGACTGCTTTACACTATGGTAAGAATACTTAATTTGAAAGATTCAACTGATATTAATCACAAATGCACTTCTGACCGTTATCATTTACTGTGCTGTAAGTGGTCATGAAATGTCAGGTCTGGCATGAGTAATGGCAGTAATTTATTTAGACCAAAAAAAAATACAAAATACAAAAACATTGTATTGGAATTGTATTAACAGGACATTTTTATGGAATACGTTCTTGAATTGGAATCTAAGCACAAAGTATAGGCATTTACTATTTGTTGCCATTCCTGAGTTTTAAACCCAAGAGAAATTAGAACTTTCTCCGTTGAGTTTTAGACATTTGGTTTCGGCAGTTTTGGTTTCTCCTAGACACTCACAACACAGATACTGTGTTTTCTTTCCAAAAAAGGAAATAGTTCATATGATAGTTCCATCATTTTTACATAATAGTGGACAAGTTTCAACAGTTAACAGGTTTCTGTGCAAGTTAACCAGATGTGGCTGTGAAAAACCAATCACTTACAGTTTGCACCAACTGAGATTCAGGTGGAACACTGTACTGTGTGAGATAGATACAATAGCATACTTGAGCCTTAATGAGAGCTGTATTTTAGTTGCTACCTAATTCTTGTCTCATTCATTTTGGGAGGAGCACTGGTGTAATGTCTCTTGACGATGATTAAATAAACATGTCTGTAATTTCTTTTATATGCATACTGGGACTGAGGGGCACATAATCAATTACACCTGCGCACATGCAAGCAGATATAAAGCCATATGTCACAAAGCTGCTCTATAGCACACAGACAGACACCACTCATTCCTGACTAGCTTAATGACATAGCAGCTGTAGCTCAGAGTGTCGAGTCTAGAGGTGACATTTGTGAACATGCTATGCAGGGTTCCGGTGACTTACTTATGTTATTTGAGGGTTCCGCCCCTCTGTTAATGATGTTTAATTACGATCAATCAAAAAGAGGTGGGTGTGAAATATGCCCCCCGTGCATACACAGTGAAGCACACACGCACGTGCGGATCGCAGGGTGGGCTTGGGACTGCATGGCTGTGCCCTCTCTGCCCAGATTCTTATCATCCATCAGCTGCCTGGGTCCTCCGTCTCTCCTGATCAGAGTGTGTCTGTGGGGGGGTGGGTGAACTGCAATAATCACCAGACCTCCCAGAGGAAATCAAGCTGTTCTCGTTCCCCAGAGTCACATGACCCTGTAGGGAGGCGGTCCCTGTGTCCTCCGAGCCCTTCATCCAGAGGAGCCATCTGGCCCTCCAGCGGGCTGCTGCCTGGGCCAGGCACCAATGGGCCCCTCTGCTGGGAGGGGAAAATGACTAATAAACATAAGCGATGAACTCCAGGAGACAAATAGTAGAGAATGAAAATTCATTTTCACCTCTCTTTGCACGGGGCCACTGTGCTAGAAAATGATTAATTGAGGGTTTACTGCATGCCATAAATTCTACTGTTAGAACAGTCCCCTAGAGATTTCTTGAACTAGAGTCAAATCAAGGGCCCGATGCACCCTAGTCTGTATTGCTAAACCATGAGCCTCTCTTGCCATTCAGTATTTATCCATTTGCATTCCTCCTGACACGATACTAGCAGCAAAGGAAAAGTCGTCTTAAAGAGAAAGTGAGACACAAAGCCTGAGAGGTCCCTCTACAGTACACAAAAGAATTCACGTTCTCATTCAGGACCTGTCTGACCTCTATAGAAAGATGTGGCCGAAGTGTGGCCTCTGTGCTTTTGCTTTTGTTCTTGGTCTGTCACAAGTGTTAACAGGCTCTCCTCCTTTGTGTCGTTTTTGGGTGCCCCCACTCCCCCCTCCCCCCCCAGCCTCCGCATGCGAGTTCGCAGATATAGTGGAGCTCCTGCTCCAAGCCGGAGCCGACCCGTCAATCAAGGACAGGGAGGGATCTCTGCCGGAAGAGGTGACCGATTCCAAGGATATTTCTTCTCTGCTGCGTCAGTACGCCACCTCCAAAGGCTAGGGAAGGCATGAGCAGAGAGCAGCGCGCACCATATCGGCAATACAGTCTGCATCCTGTACAGCTTAACATTCCATGGAATGCATTAACTATTAAACCAGTGATAAGTAAACCATTTAATGGCTTCGATATTTGTTCAAGGATCCCATCAGACAAGACCCATATGTCTGGCTCTCACCATCCTGTGGTTGAGAGAGAGTAAGCCAGCTCTGATGGTTTTAGAGAAGCTATTTAAAACACTTTCATTTCATTGTTTGATGTCTTTGGCTGAAAGACCCATATCCATCTGCCCTGTATGATCAGGGGTTCCCAAAACTGTTGTCCCAGGACCCTGCTGGTGTCCTCTTAGATGTTTCAGAGAACAAAAAAAAACATTCTTCACTAGAAATCAAACAAATATAATCAACACTTACTCAATAATCAGTCAACATCCTGGATATGACGATAACGTCTTGACTGAGTGTTGAGAATGTTACAAATGTTGCGGTGCTGTTTTTGAGCATTATATTATATCATTTTATATCCAGGAGGGTCTTTTCAGCCAGAAGATTTTGTAAACTCATAAACCCCTACAATAGATTGCACTCTAAAATTGTGTCCAATTCATTCCTGTCATCACATTACTGGGAAGTAACTGGTTTCTGCATTGTTTGTTTCCAACAATAAAACAATAGTGTTTTAATGTGCAGTGTACTGTTTCATGAATTGTGATTTTATTCGTGGATGTTTTTTTTTTAATTGTTTACAGACAAAAGGTGCGGAATTGTTTTGATCACAAAGAAACTTGCAGGATGGTTTCAAAGGTGCATGAAGGGCAGATTGAAACCTGTAATTTAGAGATCAAAAGCTATAAAGAGGAAGATGATATTCTAAGAAAAACCAATGGTTATACACTGTACATATATTTTTACAAGGTTTAATCTCATGTTTTCCAAAATTGCTTGAAGAGCATTTTTCGTCCAGAATAGTTTGGTCGGTAACTCCAACTCTTCTTCATCTGAGCACCATGTGGCCATCAGCATCGTTTGTGATATCTGATTTTACAGATCAGTTTGTTAACAGTGGAGATAGTCTTTGCCAGCCCTACAGGTCTCTTCTTGAGTGCTTTTCTGTTTTCTGAGCCCACACTAGTTTTTAATTTAAATTATGTAATTTTATCATTTACAAATAATACCAAAGCATTTGTTGCATTTTTAATTCCTCTTGTGTTATACATCAATCTAAATCCAAGGGATTTTTATACACAATTGTAAAGTTTAATTGTTAACACTGATAGTTTGTTTTTGCTTTCAGAAAACAAAATGCAGTGCAAGACTAATACAGAATATTCTAGTCTTTGGGGTTCTGTTACAGTTTGTCAGTTTGTACCTTTGTGTGTGTTGCTGACAGTTGTATATATGATCTTGAGTCCTTGAAATTAAAACCTCAAACCACAGAATGTAATAACTGTGGCAGAGATGCATTTTTGGAAGATGGGGTGTAGTAAGTGCAGGTTTGCATTTCCAGAATATGTTTCAACTGTTAATGCATCTCAAGTGTATTATTAATTTTCATATACAGCATGCATTTTAAATCACTCTGCCCTCGTATTTCATATGGTTAAAAGTCAGAAATTACCAAATTGACAGGAACTGATTAGGTTAAATGGATAGTGTTTTACTTTAAAGTCTTAAAGTACAATATGTTAGAAAGACAGCTTAAAATACTAGTTATCTGCCCCGCGGGGGCTCTGTGGCTAAGGATCTGCGCCTGTGGCTGGAAGGTTGCCGGTTCGTATCCTGCAGCCGGCAGAGGAATCCTACTCCGTTGGGCCCCTGAGCAAGGCCCTTAACTCCGTCTGCTCCAGGGACACCGTATAAATGGCTGACCCTGCGCTCTGTCCCCAAGCTTCTCTCCCTGTCTGTGTGTCTCATGAAGAGCAAATTGGTGTATGCGAAAAAGACAAATTCCCTCTGTTGCTACTTTTTTGACTTGTGAAGTTCTATAAATAATTCTGAATTATTCTCTAATTATATTCCAACAGGCAGAAATGCAACTAAACTATCTCAACCATCCCTTGCTGGTTTAAACTGGAGTTGATTGAATAAGAACTTTTTTCTCTGAATCTCTTGGTTATATTGTAAATGGCTGGTATTCCATGTTGTCAGTCTTCTAGAGTGTTATTAAATAAACCAGAATTAGTGCAACACTTTCTGTATCCAGAACAACTTGCTTTCGAGTCATTTTGAGATGGAAAATATCTTAGTTTGTCTTTAAGTCATCCACACATTGAGGAAATGTGAAGAGTTTCAAAATGAAGGAGTTTCAGCTTTTCTTGCTCTGTCTGCCACAGCTAGTTTCAGTTTAATAGAAAAGGTTCCTGCTATTGCTTCATGCTGTTTGTACTGGAATGCTTGATTCAAATTGCTTAATGTGGGAACTTGAAAGCCATGATTCCTCTTGGAATGGAAGCCTGATCGTGTTATAATCATGTAAAAATAATTTATTGTATGGTGTGTACTTGTGTGTTTATCAACGCATGATTTCCTACCTGTTTTTACTGTCATGCTTTACTCAGCTCTCACACAATCCAAACACATACCATACTGGCAGGCTACTGTAATTAGCAACGGAAAAAATGGCTGTGGTGCGAGTGTGTGTGTTTGTGTCTGTGTGTGTCCTGTGATAACCTTGTGTCAGTTCAACTAGCACAACTAGCTTGTGCTAGTTGCTAGCCAGAATAGGTTCTAGCTCCCTTGCAGTTCTGTATTGGATAAAGCAGTTAGAAAATAGATTAGATGAATTAATTCAAGTACGTTACTGTCAGGTCTACAGTCCATGCATTTGTATGCTTTGATGTGTTATCATGGGTTTTGGATTATGCTTGGCTGCAATTTGGTGTGGTATCAACGTTCTGATAATTATAGAAGATTGTGCTCTTCCACTGCTCTGAGGCTGCAGGCTATATGCTTGTTTTTCTTGGCTCCATCTCTAGATGATCCTGTGTGTTATTTTTTATACAACGTCTTATACAAATCATATGGTTCCACTCTGTAGTTAAAGGCCTTTTTTTCCTCTCATTCATCGTTTTGTGCTTTTGGCTATGGGGTCAGTGACAGTCTTTCTGAAGTGTATGGGTGTGGGAGTGTACAACACCTTGAAGTGTGGCAGAACATGATTCTGTATAGATATAGCAGCCCACACCGTCACACTGAGACCTCCATCTGTGACTGTTCTCTGCACAAGGGATGGTGGGAGATCTTCACACCTGCATGCCTGCTGGAGCTGAACTGGTCAGTGTCACACATGTGCTGTACTCAACAATACTCAAATAGCTTTCTCCTTTGCTTCTTCGGTAACCAAAAATGAGATCTGACAAATTATATCCTTGCTTCTGGCTGCTGTTTCTGCAGCATGTGACATGCTTCACTAAGGGCCTGTTCTACCATGCTTCATCAATTCATGTGTGTCTAATACATGGTGGGCATTTGAGATGATGCTTGCCAATCGCAAATAAACTTATCATTAAGTTGAGTGTTGACGTCATGCTCACATCCATATGACAGGTCAGAAGCTTTGGTACTGAGTTACTCTGGTCACATTCAGACTACTTTTAGTAATTTCACAAATACTAGTTCTTAGCTTTTTTATCTTAGAGCTGAAATTTCTGCATCTTTTGCAATCTCCGTTTCAGCCTCTACCACAAACCAGAACAAGAGAATCAGAGTAGCAGTAGTTGTCCACTGTTGTCCACGGGCCTTAAAGAAGCACATCCAGATTGTATTCCAACCTAATGCTATTTTGTGTCCTCGACACATGCCCCCCCATAAACATACTGTACATATGATGTCACTTAAGGTATGTCTGGATGTTTTCCAAATAGCCAACACATGGGCTTCCTCCCAAATCTGCTTTGTTTCCTGAAGTCCATCCGATCAGCCCCCTCAGCAAATGAAATTTAAATCTGTATCTGCTCTTAACTACAGATTGATAAAGTAGCTAATGGCATATTTGACCAAACAATGAGGCCATAATCCTTCCACCCAAATCTCCTTTAAAATGAGGCATTAGACAGTGTTAAAAAAAGAAGACTTGTGACTTTGTGCTGTCACACTGCTGCAGCAGGCACAAATGAGTTGCATCAGGTTAAGTTGTAGTGCCCAGTAATGTAACATTTGTGACCCCTCTTTTTAAAAATTGATTTCTAAATCCTCCTCGGCCACAGCAGCTCAGTGACAGCAGTTTCTCTTGGCCTGCCCGCACAATTGTGACACTAAGCCCATTATGTTTCCATTATGGGCTGCAGTTTTCCTGAGCTTTCACTCTTGACACTGCATCTGAAGTGGGTCCCATATTGCTTAGCATGCTTTATTTAGCGTTTATGCATTTTACAAGTCGCCTTCCCTGGCTCTGTAACACCATTAAAGCCAGATGGCCAGCTGTTTGTCGCAAGGCTGGATTGGTACAATGCTTGGTTCGAACAAATGGTTTATTATTGGCATGCTAGCCCAAACCTTAAGCCACTGGCAGATGAAAAACCCCTTGTGTCGTGGGTGTTGGAAAAAAAAATTCCCCTTATGTTTGTAAGGTATGTCCCTGACCTATACCTTTCATACTTATCTAAAATGTCATCTTTCTGTCCAAAACCTGTCTTGTTTTAGATTGTATGAATTCATTCGCCTTACTTTGCCAAGCTCTAAAAGAGAGCTTTAAAAAAGGTGCAGGCACCATTTTTTTTAAATGCTGCAGCCATAAAGTTAGCATGTGTGCATCAAAAAAGCATCCAGGTGAAGAAATTCGCCCTTTAAAAGATGATGCTTACTTTGGGAAAGTAGGTCACATATTGAGGTTGTTCGAGATGGAATTCATGCTTCGGAGGTCCTGAAATGAACAGAAATTTTCGCTGAGCAGATGTCCCAGTGGGGCTTTTAAACTTTAGTTTGATCCATTTTCTGTCCTCACAGAAGAAATTTTAAATGGTCGCTTTTGGAAAGTTTGTAATAAAACCCCTTTGATTGATGAAAATTGCTGCTCGTGCTCATGCTTCCTCATCATGGCAAACGCAAACGGCGCAGGATTTTATAGATTTATATTTATACCCATGGCGTAAGTGCCGTGTAAATTATCATAACTGTCTTTATTGCTGTTTATCTTTGTAGTGTACACTATTAAATGTTGTCCATTAATGGGTGCAGTGTGTCCAATCAATGCCATGACAAAAATTGCAGCAATATTTAGGTTTGTTCTTAGAGAAAACTTGTGGTGTTCTGCGAGATTAATTGAAAATGAAATCAAACATCTCTCTGTACAGGCAGAGCCTCTGTATGGCTGTGATTCTGTAGAAGCCTCTCCGTTTCTACGTGCAAATATCGGGATTGTTCATCACACATCTGTTCATTAAAGAATAGTACAAAATAAAAGCCATAGTCAGGTTTTCCCAATGTATTTACTGTCGTCATCATCAGTGCACTCTTTATCATGTGTTATGATATTGCGTTTGTTTCCTCCCTAAATTATTGAGGAAATTCTTGCATTTATTCATGAGAAGCTGTACTGTAAATTCCCAGGAAGTAAGTGCTTTGCTTGCATCATTGCATCAATCAATAATTGAACTTTCTGCAATCTTCATGTAATAGGCTTATCTTCTTATTGCAATGCAACAAGCCTCTGATTTTCCTAGAGACAACTGTGGTCGTACATTCTTAGAACTTTAAAGTCACCTCTCTTGTAATTGGCATTATCTTTAGGTACAGCAGTACAAGGCAGATGGCAGCACAGGCAACCTCATCCTTTGAAAGGCTGCTGGCTAAGTAAATGACCAGCTCAAGATCAGTTCACTTCTCAGCGGAGGTGAATAGTTTAGATTAATATCTAAATTAGGTGGCAGATCTGTATTTTCTTATAGTGAGAGACGCCTGATTTTAGTGAAGGTAAAGGGTGAGCAGTTCAGGTAAGGATAACATCAGACAGGAGATAAAAAAGACACTTTTTGTTTTGTGACTCTTCATAAAGTAATTCAATAAAGAAAGGTTTGGGCTTCCAAATGGTTCCATCAGAAAATACAGTGATTACAGGGCTTCCAAATCTGTGGTATAAAAAGGTAAATAATGACTGATTCCAAATTTTAAAAGATGTTAAGTTTGTTTCTTCAAATTTCATCCTACATCTTGAATTGCTGTTACATGAATATTACAGCGATGGCAGAACTACTGTATTGGCTTTTTTGCATTTTATAGCCATATTCAGGATAAAACCATTAAAGTTAAGCATGTTTTTGGTTTCTTATTCCCTTTGAGCGAAACCTTTGAAGAGTCATTGCCATCATAAGGCTTTCTTATTAAACGGTATCAGTGGATCTCTTTGTTTCAATATTTTTTTGAGCAAGACTTTTTGTTTTGCTGTTAAGCTGTACAGACTCTCGATTCTGTGACAGCACAGCGTATTTATCCACATTTCACAAAGCAGCTTAAAATTAGTTAACAAAGAGGGGATAAAAAGGGTTTGGTCTAGTACAATATTACAATCTGCTGCAGTCTTTAGTAGCCTTGGGATCAGTGTCCTCAACCCACCACATGTGCGCATCCTCTTTTAAAGCTACAGCAAAACACAAGAAGCAGCGTATATTTCATACAGAGCAGCTGTCGGAACAGAGACTGCAATGGTCCATAGACCATTAAAAACTGTTTTTTTGTTTTTTTTCTGTAGTAAGGTCAGCACATTTTTATCCAGCGCAATAAAGGCTTCCCAGATTTGATATGCGGTTTTATAACATGGTTTAAAGCACTTTTAGTGGTACTTTGCAAAAACACATTTATTTTAGCTTTTCTTCCTTAAGTGCATTCGTAGAAAACACAAGCTAATGCACTGACCTGTGATGAGCTGAGGATCCTACCCCTAGCTTTAATGTGCAGTACATAGCTGTAATGCCACTGTGGAACGTGCTGATGTTCTGACTACCTGATTGTATGCACGAAGGACAATGGGAAAACGAGCTCACACATAAATCTGACATTAACCATCAAGTTACAGTTGAATCAACAATACATAAAATGAACACTGTAATTGTGATTGGAGCTTTCTAGATATACTGTAGAAAGCACAAGCCCCAGAAAGTACAAAGGAAGATCTAATCAAATGGGAAAATAGTCTGTTTCAATTGTTATTTCATGCATACTGTATATAAATTGTAGGGCTGAGAGGAACTAATTGCACATGCACATAAGGTATATATTATTGGCTAGATTTTTTTGTTTCATTAGTTTAATTTAAATCCAAATACCTTTTGGGATAAATGTCCCAAAGCAACTTACATCTGCACCCACGTATACAGCTGTGCGTTTTACCAGAGCAATGTGGATAATTGTACCTTGCTCACAGGTACAACAGGAGCAAAACTGGGATTTGACCAAGCGAGCACTGCTCCATCCTGCCCAATTAATTGTTCATTTATCGTCAACCGCATCAAAGATACAGACATGTGTCTCTCAAGCTGGTATGTTTTTGAGTCTTCATTTTCTTGTAGCAGTGAATGGTTGAATCGATATGAAACCTACCATGACCACCCAGGAAGAAATAATGCAGAATTAGGCATGAAAATCCAAAGACATGTCAACTTTATTTTTTATATAGATTTCACTGTACACAGTTCATGCCAACGGACAGAAGGCATATACAAATAGACTCACTGCTTTCTTTTTTTTCCCTCAAAGACACATGGCAATAAATAGCGCTCATGAAACAAGACTCCACTTTTGAAACTGTACAAAATTTACAACAATTAAGACTCCAAAGTTCTGAGGCAACAGACAGTATTTTCTCTTTTTTAAATATATATATATTATTGGATTTGGGGTATTTTATTGTCTTACAATACCCTGTCTGTCCATCCCAGGCATGGCTCACAGAGCGTGCGTTACAAAACGTGTTATTGAGGTGCCCCCATCACCCTTTTCCAGTTCACTACAGCTTACTTTGGTTTATTAGGACCTTCCTATGTCATAACATTTGAGCCACTAATGTTTTAGCCCCACACTGCAGTTAAATCACCCTTCATAGAAGCAAATATGCATCAGCTCACCGTGGTGTTGTGCTTGCTGCTCAAAGATTTCTCCCTTTTTTTTCCAGGAATGTTTTTGTGGTTTTGGCTATGTGATAAGTGACACAGTATACAGAGTGTATCACACCATCTGCCTGAAAAAAACCCATATGTAACACATACTGTAGAAACCTATGTCATATACAATAGTTGATTCAAATACATTAAAATGGGCTTTTCCAGTTTAGGCCTTTGTAAAGCCAAGTCTAAACTTCTAACTTGCTTAAATCGGCCTTTTTAACTGTCATGTATTGCCTGGAATTTTGAGACCTTACTCTTGAAATGACTTTTTTAAGACCTGGAAAACAACTGAAAAGGCTCAAAATGAAGCAAAAGGTATGCCATGGGAGTCACTGTGCCAGCTCTCAGGCAGATACAGTTCGAACCGGTGCCAGCTGTTGATATGGGTACGCAGGCCTGCTGGGTGTGGTCTTTCTAAAGTAGGGCTGTCAAACTCAGCCTAGTTTCTTTTTGTTCTTTATTCCATCTGAGCTCTGTGTGTCTCATTACTTAACTTCATAATTGTAACATTTCTATGCTGGCTCCAAAGTGTTTATAGGTAACTGTAATTAAGTGAATGTTTTAATTTAACAACTGCCAAAGACCTTAAGAAATATCCTATATGTGTCTAAGCAAGGAAATAATTCGAAAAAAAATGTTAAATTAACATCTGGGGTTGGAACAAAAACCAGAAGACACTGGGAGGTCTAGTTTAGCTCATTAGTTGTTCAGCACAGTTTTGGCAAATCCATGAGTGGCAAATCCATGTCCACTGGTTTCTGTTTGATTTTAGGCTGTACTGTGAAGCAGAGTTATCATGGTTGCAGTACGTTTTTAAAGCAGTAGCAGGTGCCAAATGACCACTGTACATTCACCACAGTGAAACAGCCATTACCAGATCTTCAGGCTTGTGGTATCAACTGACAATCAGAAATGAGCCGATTTGAACATTTTAGAAATCACAGCACTGGATGCATGTCCCTGCAAACAACAAAACAGTCACAGCTAAAATTCCAATTGAAATGTTAACTACTGTGATGCCACCCCATCGATCTTTCCTAATCTTAGGAGTGACAAGAGGAACAACCTTTGCCATTACACTAGCCCTGTTCGAAACATCAGGAAGCCTTAACAAGGTTGGAGTTTCACCATTACCATGTACGGTGTTTTATCTCAAGTGTTTTCTGTCTTTTTCCATAATTACTTTAGTTTCAGCGAAAAGTTGAATGTCAAACAACCCAATAACTCTGAACTAAAAACAGAACATCTGACCCAATTCTTGTTCTGGACCTTGGAATGTAATAAGTGTTTCAATTTGACCATACAGCTTTATGTGTTGTACAGGAGTATCTTTAGTCCTTTAAAAACACTTATAATTGGGGAAAATTAACTCCTGTGGAGCTCACTACTTCTTCTCTTAATCTAGTGATCTAAAGTTATTGCTTAGATGGCTACAATTCCATCTTGTTTCCTACAAAAAGCATCCATCCCCTCACTAGGTGTTTTCATGCATTTAGTAAGAGCTATGTATGGTATATGTGCAAAAGAATTAAGGTAAAGTGCAAAATAAATGCTGTAACAGAGGCAGTCAGGCTTTTGACATTCAATTTTCTTCTGGAAAAACCTCCCACGAAAGACTCAGCTGGGAATTTTGGCACACCTAGGAAAACTAAAATAATTCTCCGGTCAGATTTTAAACAGAACTGAGAAATAAGAGTCAAAAAGACTGACAAGGAAGAGAAAATAAATAAATAAATGATGAGATGGATGTGAAGATGTGAAGCGTTGTCCTTCGATGACGTCATCCCAAAACCGCAGTGCTGGACGATCTTTCTTCTTCTAAGGGCCCGGGCTCAGACTGTCCACCTGAAAAGAGTGACATCCCTGCTCTTCGCCAGCTGCCCATCCACCCAGCAGTCGCTCTGTCCCCAACCAAAGTTCCTTTGGATGTGAAGCTCTTCAAATGCTCCCTTTAAAAATAGCTCTGTAGAAAGGTAAAAAGCTGCTCGCCATGTGATTGTGCCCGGCTGGGCCAGTCTAAAACTGGGAGTGATCCATCTCGTCCAGCCAGGAGGCTGGGCTGGTGGGGAAGTCTGGGTAGCCAGCACTGCTGCCGGTGGACAGGTCAGAGGTGGGCCCCCCTGTCATGGCTCTCAGCGCCTGGCTCACCCCCTGCCCACCCTGTGCCATGATGCTGTCCATGGAGAAGCCCAGATTATTGAGCAGGGGCGTGTGGGCAGGCAGAGAGACGATGGAGGAGGGCGACTGGGGGACACCGTAGGGGCTGTTGGCTCGCAAGTCGTGGAAGGGCTGTCCCGTGCCGTCCAGAGAGAAGCTGCCGTTCAGCAGGTTCCCATTGCCCACATCTCCCATGCTGCCGTAGAGCCCGTTGGAGTGGCCCAGGTCCGACAGTATCTGATCCTCTGCGGGGAGAGGGAGTACAACATCAGGAAAGGGCCTTTTTAACAATTGACACTCTCTTGCCATATCAGTAGCGTAAATCTATGGATCCTAAACAGTTCCTTGAAGCTGGATAAAGCAGGTTTTCTCAAATTTAAGGTTGAAAACAGAGAGCCTGAATCTTCTGAAAGTATCAGACTACTAAGTGATGTTGTAGACGCAGACTCTGGGATTCAAACACAAAATGTATGAATAATATTGTGGGTAATTTATTACCTCTTTGACAGTGGAAAAGATTGGTAAAAAAAATTTTTGCCCTTTTTTACATGCCATAAAAACACACTGATTGTTTTTTATGAATACGTTAAATATATGTACTTAATGTGGAAATTAAAATATCATATTTTATAGCAATATTATGGCAACACATTATTTCAAAGAACTGTATAATTCCAACTTCTTTGGCTTCTCAAGCACTTTACAAAATAGATTTTCAAAACCATGAAAAATATACAAGAAAAAAATACAAATTAAAACTGCATGAAATATACAAAGATCACTTCATTAGCCATGTACAATTTCTTGTATTAGAAATTTGTATTTTTCGCATACCCAAACTTGCTCTCCATGAGACACACAGACAGGGAGAGAAGCTTGGGGTCAGAGTGCAGGGTCAGCCATTTATACAGCACCCCTGGAGCAGTTGGGGTTCAGGGCCTTGCTCAGGGGCCCAATGGAGTAGGATTCCTCTGCCAGCTGCAGGATCTGAATCTGCAGCAACCTTCCAGCCACAGGGGCAGATCCTTAGCCACAGCCACCCACCGCCAAGTCAATAATTTAGAAAAAAGATGACAAATATCTAATACTTAATATTATAAGTATGTATTATATCAATATGAATGTTAGTATATACATATTGATTGTATTTATTCCAGTTATCCAGGCTCTTGTACAAGACTGATGACCTATGAAGTGGGTTGCAGCAGATTTTTTTTTTTTTACAATTTCTTAAAGTGATTTCTCTTCAGTTCTTCTAGCTATTAAAAAGATTCAGAATCATAATGGTGTTTGACAGGTTGTGCTAAATGGTGTCACCTGGACTACACAATTGTAAGAAGCTGTAGGCTAAGACCTCAAATGTTTTCTATTTTATAATTACAATTCGTAATACAGTAAATATACTTTTTGAGAGCAAAGCATAAAGGTATAACATTTTTGAGAACACTGTAATGCCATTAAGATCAAGAGCCCCACCTTGTTAAATTCCCTGGCATGGAGATGATACGTAACACAATATAAAGCACAAAATAGAACTGGCACAAACACATCAGGCCTGATCACAATGCTCATGCACGCGTCTAAGAGAAGAAAACTAGACCAATCCCTTACATGTGGGACTGCTGATTTTGATCAGATTCTGTATATTGTTGTAAAATGTATTTACTCTAGCTGTCAGTACATTTTTACACTTAAAAGTTCAATGAGAGAAAATTGCCTTCCAAAGTTAAATGAGTCAAAACTGACTGATTTCCCTGCTGTGGACACAGAGCACTCTCTCAAGTCCGGTGTGGTGTGAGGCTGAGCCACTAAACTAAACCACTTGCCTGTCAAGTGCTGAGAGCTGCCCTGGATATCAAAAAGAACTGCGAGCACTCTCTAGCTAATTGACTAAAAAGCTTTACCTGCTTTAATAGAGTTTGTGTGCCCTGTTTCCTTTCTCATAAAAACCATTCTTAAAGAGACTTGTGTTTTACGAGATTCCAAAACGTGCTTGCAAACACAAAATAAACATGGCCATTCCAAAACGTCTCCAGGGTCTTCACATACTGTAGCCTCTGCTGCATTATCGCCTATTTAGGGGAATCTACACAACAGGAAGCAAGGCAGAATGCAGATCAGGTGTCAGGAGGAGGATGTCCAGGGATGTACTAAGCACTGCTTAGTTCTCTTTAATGCTTATAGAAACTCTGTTTTAACTTGATATAATCTGTTAAATTTACAAAAAAAAATAATAGGGGAGACTGTGTTTCAAGGAATCTTCATTTTAAAAACATTTTTGTTTTAAAAAAGGCAAATATCTTGCTTAAAAATCGGTACAAATGGTTGAGCTCATTAGGTGCTTTCTTTCTGTATAATATTAGAAAATGGACTACAGTCCACTACACCTTACTCTTATGTTTGCTACAAAAAATCTAAGAAAATCTATGAAACCTTGAAGGGAAAAATGGGAAGTGAAACCAGAATCGTAGGTGTGAGGACGTGTTTTTTTCCTCCTGACCTCTGAAGCTGAGCTCGCTGTCGCTGAGCCCCCCGTCCTCCGCTGAGCTCTCCTTCTCGGGCTTGCTTCCCCCGCGGCTCCGCTTCACGTTCTTGTAGAACTGTCCCCAGCGGTGCCGCCCCGCGTCCTTCTTTAGTCGCTTCTCTTTCGCTCGCCGGTTCTGGAACCACACCTGAGGCAAGAGCGACACCGCGCTGCGTCAGCCCGTCCGGCCCGCCATATCATGTGATCGCTAGGGCGTTTTACTGACCAGAACAATAAAATGGATTGGCAGATGTAAACTGGGAAATCCAGATGAATGGAAACTACACGTTAGAGACACGGGGGCTGAAGAGCTATGGGTGTTCACGGATGAAGAACGTTTCTGCTTGTTACATTTTCTAAACCAGAAAAGGAAAACAACTGTATGTTCAGCCCTGTCATGTTAAATTGCAGCAGCCACGAAAAGGACATAATCTATAAGTGACACAACCACTTAACGGAGCAAAAATAAAACTACCAAGCAGCTCAGTCCATGTGCATCATGCATTCGCGTCTTTAAACCCCAAGCACTGAAAACAGCACACTTCCGCTGTACTTCGGTGCTCTTTTTAATATAAGGGGCTCTTCCTTTACAATGCATTCTCTGCTTGCTACTTCTAGTAAAGACAGACGATCAAAGGTGATGAATCGTTTCTTCAATTGGAGACATCAAGTTATCAAAAGAGTACAACGAGTCAAACGTGTTTCCATTTGCCGCTATATTAAAGCGTGCACTTTGCTTTCTCGTGACTAACTGTGGTTGGTATTGAGCTTATCATACTTCTTTATACTGCATTGTGTTTGTACTAAGACTTAATTTCCTTTCCTTTGCATCGATTTCACCTTAGTATCTAACTGTACAGATTAAAGGGTATATCTATGTCAGAAGGTTAACCCCAGGTGAGAAAACCCCAAGCAAGGTGACAGAGATTAAGTCCCCGTTTTCTTGGAAGCAAAGGTGGTTAGAAGCCTAATCCCGCATTACCAGTTGACGTTCGGTAAATTCAGTGACTGGAAATCCACCCCCACTCACCTGAACCACTCTCATGTCCAGCCCTGTCTCCGAGGACAGCTGTTCTCGCACGTGGCGCGCCGGTTTCGGAGAGTTCTTGTAGGCATTCTTCAGCGTCTCCAGCTGCTTGGCGGTGATGGTCGTCCGTGGTCTCTTGGCTCCCGCCTCTGAATCATCTGCGTTAGAAACAGGGGTTCTTACCGGGGTAACCTCTACTCAGGGCTCTGGGGATACCCACTTTTCTGCAGTACAAAGGCTGAGCTGTTACGTGCTCCGGAATTCCAACCAGACTCCCTGCTGTACTGTCACCCAACGAGATAGCGGTGAGTGCAGAAACAGTTTTTCAATGATAACTGCTCCAAATTTGACCTGGTCTGGAATTCTGCAGATTGTACCTATCCCACAAAACATGCTTGTTGAACACACAAGACCTGCAGTTATTTTAATTCTCCAATGGCGCTGATGTCTAAATGTTTTGTAGGGCGTTATATCACATACAGTATGAGGGAAACTGCAGTTCAATAATACATAAAGACATATTGTAAGTAAACATGGGCAATGTAAGTTGTTGATCTGCATCCAGAAAATAAAGTGAAACTTAATATTTCAGTGGTCTAAAACATCTGGCCATTTTTGGCCCAAACAGGTTTAGTTACATTAAAAATGAACAATTCTACCAGTTTCCTAAAGTAGGAACAGCTGGGTCTACTTTTATTAATAAAAGGAAAATCAGTTTTACTATCGTTTGCTTTGTGATACATATACAAAAGATGTAATAAAACTTTTTCAGAGATAATCATTGACTTTTGATCATTAGCGAGTCTTTACTTAAACTTTAAAAAAGTGAGAGAATATCCTTTGCTTTAAAACTGTATGAATGTATTTTTTAAAATGAAAGTCACTGAAACGGCAATAATTCTGATGATCTAAATGGTAAAGCTGATCTAAAACGTACATAAATGATGTGGAACCATAAAATTAATAAGTATACTGTTACATAAGTCCTTTGGGTGTCCATGAAATTGTAAAGTCTAGAATTAAGATGAGCAAAGGTTTCATTTAAAAAAAAAAGAGGCTCCCGCAAATATTTCCACATAAATTTTTATTCCAGATTAACCTTCAGGCTTCTTTTACAAAAATAACATTATTTTATCCCAGTTATCTAGTGACTAAGAGGAGCAAAGCCTGAGAGTGCCAACCTACAGTAGGTCTGTTGAGAGGATTAGCACTGTATTAACCACTATGTTTTGGTCTGTCAGTTTCCCTATCTGCATGGGTTGCAAGACTCAATAGTTATTGGGAATCTACCATTCCTTCACTTAACAGAATCAATGAGAGGAGGATAGAAATCTCAATAAATAAGGAACCAAGGCTTTCAGCATGAAATCCATGAAGCGGTCAGTTAAGCTTCAGAGCTAATTACTGAGAGACTGGAGACCCCTGAGGGTTTTTTCATTGATGAAGGGGTCAAGTGCATTTCCTGCATTTTCTCTCTCTAATGAAATTGTCACCTTCTGCCGGCTAAAACCATTGTTCATATTTTAGTTCTGATTCTAAAATCTTAGAATAGGGGTGTTCAGTTCTAGTCCCGGTGGGCTGGGTGTGTCTGTGGGCTCATTCCAGCTCAGCCTCCTAATGAGCTAAACCGTCTTGTTTACACAAGCTTAACTGGACCAACTTAATAGCAACTCCCAGCTGCTCAGGTACAGCTGCTTGAAAGACACTTTGAAAACCCACAGACTTGTTGGCCATCCAGGACAAGGATACACTTGTCTTAAAAAGTGTGGATTAATCTAATTTGTGTCACCAAAGCATCTCAGTGCTGAGAATAATGAGGGTTGATCACACTACTACAGTCACAGCACCATTTTTAATGGTAACATTTTAAATCAGGCAAATAATTTACATCCATTACTCTAAAAATATCAGATTGTGTCATTAACCTGGCAGGAACTGATATTTAACTTTACTCTTATAAACAAAGTCATTATAATTTTGAAGGTTCTGTTTAATTTTCTACAAAGTAGTAATAATGTATTCGTGATTGTGAGGTATAATAATGTATTATCACTATTCCAGCAGGCAAACAAACCAACTGAACAAGGTTCTTTATTTGTTCAAAAGCATCTTAAGGAGGTTTTATAGTGAACAGATGATGAGTATTGCATGTTTACTGCTCACTGGTGTTTAGCACCAATTTTCTTTTCTGCAATGCTGAATTTACACATTAAAGTCCTTCATTTTAATGGTATTCCTGTCTTGCTCAAAGTGCCCCAGTGAGTAATATGGTCACCCTAGGTTGAACACTTTGCTTATCAAGCAAAATCGTGGCTTCCTAGTCTTAACCCTCAAGGTCTGCAACACAGCAAGCTTTTTTATGTTTGTACCTTATAAACATACATACAACTAGGAGAAGAGTTTAAGTGGTCCAATTACAATCCAGTTTGTACCTTTTAGCTGTTGACAATTTAAAGGGAACAAGAAAACCTGGGAACTGTGAAACCAGAGGACCAGAGCTCGGCACTCCTATCCTGTAGTGTTACTTTGAGCGAACGGAATATTGCCAGTCCACCTCACCATCAAGAAGTTTAGCTGATTATGTCAAAACATTGTATGTACAGTATATCTATGAATTGGCTTCATTGCTCTCCTCTCCACTGATGTGTGGTGAGTGTTCTGGTGCACTATGGCTGCCGTCGCATCATCCAGATGGGGCTGCACAGTGGTGGTGGTGGAGGGGAGTTCCCATTACCCGTAAAGAGCTTTGAGTGGAGTGTTCAGAAAAGCGCTATATAAGTGTAAGCAATTATTATTATTATTATTATTATTATTATTATTATTATTATTATAACAATTGAAAATTTGCATTCCGCTATTCTGCTGTAGTTTTAGCACTTAGCACTGCCTAACCAATTGGAGCTGGTATTTCCCTGGAAGAGTAGATGAAAATTAAGCTGAGAATGCCATGTGATATTTCAACACTTCAGCTTCACATAGCATAACCAAACAGTGAAAGCAGAACAACAGGTGTGTGAATGGACAGCCAGAACAACAGTGACACAAACCCAGAAAACCTCACAAAATTCACTTTTTTTTAAGTGCTAGTGAGACAGTTACCTTTTGATTAATGCATTCATTATCTAAGCTCCATTCGCATCTCTGCCTACAGATTTTGGAAGGTACTATTAAATTCATATAATTGAATCTCTGGGGACATGATAGGTTTTCTTGACTTATTCACAAAGAGAACAATAGTCCCAGTGCTACAAAATCCATAATGAAACATGAAAACTACCCACAAGGGTTATTCATTTAGTAATAACCGAAAGATCCATTTGCAACTTTGACGTTTATTTTGGGATTTTCCCATTGGGAAGGCCCGGCTACAAAATCCATGGGGTTTTAAAATGGCCTTTTATGAATATTGGCCTTAAACCGTGGAGCCTGGAACAGCAATCTAAACCAATGGCAGTTCCAAATGCAACAGAACCAGTGTACAGTGCATGTGTGGAGTGGTTGGGTCCAGAAGGCTTTTATGGGTAAAAAGAGGAATACGCTGCCCTCCCCCATCATCCCGATCCCTGTGTACCGTTCTGTTTGGCGGTTTCGTAGTCCTCTTTGCACACCAGCCTCCCATCCTCCATGAGGTAGAACTCGTCGCCCGTGGCCAGCTGCCGGTTGCACATGACACAGGCGAAGCAGTGCAGGTGGTAGACGAAGTCCTGGGCTTTCCGCACCACCTGCGTGGGGGGGATACCCTGCTGGCAGGAGGCACACTTTGTCCCGAAGCGCCTGCAACACAAGACAGGGCCGTCGTCAACAGGGGTACGCCGGAACTATCCTGCACTGAGCGCCGTTTTTAAAAGCCGCGCGGCCCCAAAACGAGGATGCGATGGCTCATTGTGTCCTATCTGTAAATCGTTTTTTTTCTTTAATCTGTAGGGGTCCCCTTTCGTGAAAGTGCCCCCTTCAGAAAACTGTGCTCACTGAAAGGCGCAGCCGCTGTTGCAGTGAAACGCAGAACAGACAGAGCCCTTTTCCTAACAACATGATGAGGATTTGGACATTTATTCTTCAGGTGCCAACTCCCCTTACACTGTAATTAGTGCGTTTGAAATTAAATAAAAACAGTTCCACGCCACCTGGGGTTTTGGATTTCCACTTTTGTGATTTGTGAACAGTATGCAACACTGTTTTATTCTGAAAAGATATGATATTTAATCTGAAAGGGGCCAAAATAACAAATGCGGAGAGCCGAAACAATGAATACACTGGAGGCAAAACTGAGAATTTGGTTGGAGGATTATCAGTCAGGGTCAGTTGTCATCGCTCTGTCCAAATTTGCAGGCAGAGGCTCAGTGAAGACATGCATTTCAGAGCAACAGCTCTAGTTTTATCCTTGTGTTTTTTTTTAAACTCAGACTCCCCAGCCATACAGTATGAGCCCACCTAAATTGGAACAGCCTATTTTCTTGAGAACCCGATACCCACTCAGGAGAGTCATTTGCAATTGCTACCCTGCACAGCCAGCCATGTTTTGACACACTGCACCCAAGGTCTATGGGGTGTTAGTCTGACAAAAACTATAAATATAAACTTCAATTAACTTGTGTAAAATATAGATGTTTCATAGGAAATCAGACTTAAAGTGTTTGATCATAGCTAATTTTATGTTTAGTATCTTATTGGTCCTTGAAGAAGCCAGATTATCAGATCAAAATTCCCACAATCCTCTGCATAAAGAAGGGCCTCCTGTTCTCAGTTTTAAATGCACCTTCTCATACTGTAGTTTCGCCTTTTGTTCTCTGGTTTGTGCTTCATTGTTTGTTCTGAATCCACTGGGTTCTGAAAGTCTGCAGGATTTTGAACACTTGGATCAGATCCCTTAGTAGTTTTCTCTGATGAGGGCTAAAAAGACTCGGCTCTTTCAGTACATCAGCTGGTCAAAACTCACAGGCAAGAGTGTACAGGTCTCATAGCATAAGATACTGTCACTCCCCAGGATGCCCAGCAGTGCTTGAGGTTTCTGCGGCAGAAAGCTGACATTTTGGCATAGCAGGCTTATTGCTGCTTCTGTGGCTGTGCAGCTGAGGCACTGTAGAGATGCATCAGTATAATAGCAACTGGGACACACTGCAGATCACATAATAGCAAGTTATTTAATCAATACATATTTAAAAACAGTACACTTTCCATAGATCTACTGTAGCTGCACAGCTTTAACAAAAAGTTGAACTTTCCAGGAATAAACCAGCCAGAAGGCATCGGGAATCTACAGCAGAATGCTCTCAGAATACCCCCATTGCTGCTGCAGCTCTGCTTTGTTGTGCATGGTAAGAAATCATGAATGGGCACAGTAACACCTCAACTCAAGAACTGAATCTTGGGAGACAATAATGACTCCAAATGCACTTTTACTAAAAGTCAAATGATTTATTTTGAATTTGTGTCGGTGTCAGTGTAAAATTTGGAAAAACAATGTTAAACATAATTTACTACCAAATGTGCACAGCTCAATTAAATGGCAAATCTTAACGCATTCTAATACATTTATATGCCTATCTTCTCCAATTTGAGACAAAAGATCAAAGTCACTTTCCCTGGGCATCCAGAAAGAGCATTAAAGCTCTCTTTTTATTTTGGCCAATGCCAGCTTGGTCTTATGGAAGACACTTCTGTAGTTCTATATTTCCTGCTTTTCCTATTACTTTGGTCCATCGCCATCTCTATTACCTGGAGCACCGACGACTTGATCACCGTGAAAGTGGTCACCATGGAAACCAGGTCCCTGTGGCCTAATGAGAATATCCTCAAGAGTTTTTGCCTCTTAAAATCAAGGTAGTGTATATTTGGCAATCTTTCTGACAATAGTAAATAACATAAAACTAAGTATTTCTAAAGCAATATAACAATACAAACTCATATCCCTGAAACATATTTATCGTAACGTTATATTTTTAGAGGGATCTCAACAAATTTTGAATGATTAAATTAAATGATTATTTAATTAAAAAAAAATCACCTCTGATTTAATGCCAAGCCAAAATAGTGAGTTCTGCTTTGAGTCTGCATTCCTGTTTTAAAATAAACACTAAATTGGAATATCGGTGTCAAAGTCTTTTCTTAGTTATTACTTGTTCTCTTACGTCTGCTTACTGCCATTCCAACCAACAGTTCCAAAAAATGTGCACAACTGGACAGTAGTTTTAAAGCTTGATTGTGTGGACCTGCTCCATACAGTACTACTCCTGATCCCCTGCAAGCAAAATGAAAGGCATACACAACCCTTACAGGCAACTGCACTACAGGACTACAGGTCGCCGCTACTTCCCTAACCAGTGATGGATTATCAAAGAAGACAGTCCTTCCAGAATAGATACATCCAGCACTGTTGCTTAAATACAGTAGCAGACAGTGAATGAGGACAACAATACAATGAAAAAATACATTGAATGGGTAAGAAGCATGTGATTTGAGCCTTGAATTTAACTATGCATTCATATACAATAGCTGGAAAAATTACAGAATGTATACACAATGCAATATGTATTCACATTTATTTTAAGTATTGGGATTACTTTGGTGGGACACTGTATTAGCTCAGCAGGTTAATTATTATTTGTGTAAGTTATCCCTAACACTGCATTACAATGACACTCTCAGATCATTACAATGAATCTCAGTGCCAGCCTTTACGATTCCCACATCCAGTGGATACTGTTCATTCATTTGTTGCTGTAATGTAAATTACCATTATAACACTCTCTCTAGTCATATAGGATGTGTTACAATAAATTGAAAAGTTACAGTACCTGGAAAATGCATTCATGGCTATCTGATGCATATGAAGGATTTTGGAATACGGTTTGCTTGTTTGCCTTGTCTCCTTTTTGATTCACTATCCAAACCAATGTAGTGAAGGCCTCAAAGATACAGTACAGGAATGCTGTAAACACGATAAGGGAAGCAATAAACCACTGGCTGAGAGATGGTAATAAATCAGGGGACACATACAATAAAATAAACTGTTATTCCTCACCAAGGTGAAGTTTGTTCATTAATGCTGGGAAAGGCGTCTGTCTTGCTGTTCTGCTAGTTATCTCTCCCCGCCATTTGTGCTTGCACACTGTCGCAGTTTTAACATAAAAGAATCCCCACTTGTCCCTTGGGGCGACTAATAAAGTTAGCTTCCACTCTCTGACTCACTAGCTTTTTAGGTTTCCGTGAAGCTTTTGACATTAAAGCCCCAAACATGATTTAGTAAAAGCTGGGGCTGATCCTGTTTTGGATAAAAGTCAAACCTAATTTGTTCTTTAATGCTCGGAAATCCAATCGCAGCTAAAAGAGGAGAAAAAAAAAGTTGCTTAAGTGTTCCGTTCTGACTGGTATTAATCTTAAAGTCTGTCAATACGAACGACCACTAGGTACTGCTGGAGCGCACACGGAAGGGAGCTACAATCTTAGTCCTTGAGATCACTTTTTCCCCCTTTTCTTTGCAAGTGAGCCATCAATTACTTAATTGAGCCTTTAATTAAACTCATAATGTGCTGAATTGGACCTTTTTAATTGTTACTATGTCCTCCAAAGTTTGAGGTTTCAAGGTACTTGTAAAACTTTATAGGTAATTTGAAACCTCCAGCTGTTTAAGAGCTGAAAACAATTTAAAAGGTCTTATCAATAGTAACAGAGCTCGTCACCTATGATGAACCTCTTAGGGTGATCTCACATCTCCCTGAAGAAGACTTCAGTATTGCAAGGCCACAGCATAAGCTGTCTGCTCTTTTGGCCAGCTGAACTAGTATGCTTTCTTGTCAAGCTGTCTGGAGGTCTCACACAGGAAAGGCAAGCAAAGAGTACTTTTGAGTCCCAGGCTGGAATAAGCAGTAGGCCACCTGTCCATACATTATAAGACAGGAAAGGCTTTTAAAGTGTTATGTGTTTTTATTTTTAATGTCATTATTGCTGAATCACAGAATCACAAAATGGCACAGTTAGGGTTGCCAACTGGACACAATTCTAGAAAGCCTGTTGAACCTGCATCTTAACCACAAGAGTCTGAGAACAATCAAAGTTATGTGTGTGTTCCAGTCAGAGATCTGATTCATTAATTTGGCTTGTTGACTCTTTGCTGACAAAAGTTGTCACTGATCATACCTTATGAACAGTTAATCAATATTACTTATCTGATTGGGGCGAGTCTGGGTAAATTAAGGCAATATATTAATGATGCTTAAGTAGTTTACTGACATTTCTCAGTACTGTTGCTGCTCAGTTGTATTTCTTGACACAAATAAATTTGAACATTTTCTAAATGAATGAGATTAAAATATTTTAAAAGGCATATACGGGATATAAAAGCATGCATGAAAAATGACATGAGAATTATGAAGGCATTTAATGCTCATTCCAGGAAAGACTGTCTAGTTTGTTTTTTTTGGACTCCTTGACAAAAGCACACAGAGGTAGCATTATGTTAAATCTGTGTCACTGGTTAAAAAATGTTAAAGCACAGAAAGTGTAAAAATACAGACGTAGTTTTTGTATGGGAAAAAGTACAGAAACAGATCATTATAAAAACCCGTGATTAAGTTCAATCACAAAATCTATATTTTCTGAATAAATACTTTATACTACATTATCACAGTCATTGACTTAAAAATAACAAAGTGTAACATAGTTATTACTATTACTGTATAGTTATATATAACATCCATCTAACTTCTAACCATTAAATCCAAATCAGTGTCTCAGGGGAGCTGGAGCCTATGTCAGCAAGCAATGGACATAAGGCA